TGCGAGTGTCCGTACTCCCCGCAGTTGATACAAGCGCCACGCGTTCGGCGGTCACGCCACACGTCTTGATCAAGACCTGCCTTAACCCATTCAGCCTACTTGGTCTGCTTGGAGGCGGCCTTCCCTTGACCCCTTGGTTGGCCCTTCCCTCGGCCACCGGCCTTAGCCTTTACTACTGCGGCGAGGGTGCTACCCTCAACTACCTCCTCGCCGTCATACTCTGAATAGTCCACCAGGTCAGAGAGTTCATCGATCTCAGTTTGAGTCCCGTCGGACTCAACCATTATCAACTTCGCCCCCTTCTTCTTCCACGCTTGGGGACTCTTCTTCTTTTTCGAGTCATTCTGAGAGGTAGCTTGAGCATTGCCTAGCGTGGCCTCCAAATCTAAGGCTTTCCTAGACAATGTCTCAAACGAGTGATACTCGACGCGTGCCTCACTGGCCAGCAAGTTCTTGATGTTCTCTGCGAGACATCTGACAAATGTTGTCAATAGGAGCTGATCGCTGTAGTTAATGCCTGGGACGAGGATCAGGCTCTCAACGGTAGTCGTAAGCTCTCTAACCGATTTGAACTTTTGTTGGTCCAGTTTGTTAATGGCATTAGTGGCCTTTTGTGCCTCCTGTGGGTTATGCCATCGAGCTTCTACCATTTCCATGAACTGGTCTAACGTTAGAGACTTAGCCCAGTCCGCCATGCGTCTCCCATACCCGGCCTTGATAACTACACCATCTAACCATTTGGCTGCCTTATCCTCGAGGTAAGACGCCGCAATTACCATTTCATCCTCCAACAAGGTCCTCTTTGCCTTCACCCAAACCGGAACTGACCTCAACCAAGTGTTGAGCTCTTCGTCCTTTCTCTCGCCTGAGAAGGCAAGAGGCGGTTTCATTGGGGTATTAGGATACCATTGACCCTGCGGCCGTCCAGATTGTTGAACAGGTTGTTGCGGTGGTGTAGCTCCCACCGTTGGACCCGAAGAAGAAGATGCAACAGCCTGTGAGACTGCTGCAGACGTACCACTTGGCTGTGTACCATCTTGAACTGGAAAGGGGCCTGACATCGTCGATAACAGCAACGGCAATTGTGCTGGTGGCCAGAATCCTGGCCTTGTCAATACATCCAGGATTTGGTCTAGAGTGCTCTGCATGAAGTCTAATCTGATGTCCACATGCGCATGCAGCGACAACATATTCTTCTTCAACGTCTTCATTTGGTCATCCGTTGATGACTCATCCAAGCCCTCTAATTCAGCCTTGTCAGCCTCTAAAGTTTCAAGCCTGGCTGCTCTAGTTTTCATCTCTCTTTCTCTATCGGTAGCATCTTTCAGGTCCTGCTCTAACTTCTGGCGGAGCCTCTCGACCTGCTGGATCTCTCTGAGCTCCCTCTCACGTGGGGTCAGCGGGCTGAACTGCGAGCCCGCCATTTGACTAGTAGACTGTCGCGAACCCGTTGAACCGGAAGTGCCCGTGGAACTTGTGGAACTTAGTGGCATTCCCAAATGAGTCCCATTAGTCCTAGACAAAGCCGCAGAAGATGCTGTTGAGCTAGTCATGGCTGCTGCCCTAGCTGCTGTGGCAGCCTGTTCCCTAGCTGCGGCGTTTGCTGTTGCTCTCGCAGTTGCTAGAGCGCGGGCTCTACGTTCGGCTTGAAGCCGTCTTTGTCTCCCGGTTGTAGGGCCTGGTACACGTGCGGGACCCTAAGGGCCCTTGAACGTGTCAGTCTCCTATCGTCAACTCTATCCTCAACAGGATCTGTTCCACTCATCAGTTAGGCAGACAGTATCTGCACTAGAATCCCCTAGTGGAATCCTACCACAGCATGTGTCTGACCGGCACCTAGTTTTCTAACAATAGTCATGTCCGGCAAGTCCCTTACTGTACCGATCAAGTGGCATGTCTACAACATTCACACAGATTGTCTACATAGTCTAGATGCACTCTGATTGGTTCATTTACAGCAGCACTAGATAGAACTGGCTATGGTAGTATACTTAAGTCCTACTTTAGTCTGTCTGTGAGGTGTTAGCAGTCTGTCCACCAACTAATCAAAAGTACAAAATGACCATGTAGCAGATGTATGATTGATGGGTATGATTGTGTATACAGTTGAGCACCAATTGGAATCTATCCTTCCCCTCAATCCAACCATYCGGACAGCATCTTGAGCAAAGCAGTGTTTTCGTGTGTGTATCGGCCCACCCMTGTGCCCAAGTCAGAGCCAAGTAAGCCAGCCAGCCCACTCTTATTTACCCTCGTACGGAAACGAGCCTTACACCCGGATGATCTGGCTGATCAGGAGGATTATTAAGAGCGCCCCATCTCTTCAGGAATTCTGTAACGTCGCAGTCAGGACGACGATCACAGCCAGAATCATTCCGAGTACCCAACCAGAAATGTTTATAGACGGTCTGGTAAGTGTCTCATACAAGGCTGGCACACTTGGCAAGACTTCTATTTGAGCGCAGCAAGTGCCAAACAGGACAGCAGCCATCGCATGCGTGCACTACTCCCTGTGGGTTGGCATGGTGACCGTGACC